CAGGGCGGGCAACTCAGGAAACTGCCAAACCCAAGAAGTGTTCGTGCCGATGTGGGAGTTGATTAGACTCAGCTCAAGAGATGGGCATAAACCTTAAACCCTTTGAACGCTTTGAATGGCGAAGCCTGCCTCTGCGAACGGAAGCAGACTCAAAACCATGCCTCATGGAAGCGGTAACGTAGTCCAGGACCTCGAAACACCTGTAGCTGTCCCGTTTGGGAGAAACCTGCACAAATATGCCTCAATTCGCGCATGGCGATCAGCTGGCATAGCAACTCCTATACACAGTAACCGAATTTGGAGTGCTGTTGACTCCGGCCGACACTCTCTCGTAATCCACCGGCCCCTGGATTCCCGGAGCAATCCTCGCAAGAATTGACCAAACCAACGGATTCGTGCTGTCAATTCGGCTCTCACCAGTCTGCCATGACTAACCGTAGCCGGATCAATCCATGTACGCGTGCTAGCATGGAACACCGGAGGTGGACTTCCTGTGTGAAAACAGAAATCCAGCAACAATTGCAGCACTGATATCCACTGTAGTGATCCCCCGCCAGCACAGGACTGCAAGCCCCGAAACCACTCGGCCGCAGTTCTGACCGCGGTATCTCCAAACCGATGTGTAATACGGCCTCGCGGGTCCACATCACACGCTGGAATGAAGGAATGCTCACCCTCACCTACCGCAGCCACCGCCAATACTGGACGGACACCAGGTCGGCCCTCGGACCGCGTAGCGACCATGCCAATCCTAGCATGAAGCAGCAGAATCCCTTCAGCAACGCGTGAAGCTTCAGCGTAGCCATCCGCGCACCGACGCCAGAGGTTCCAAAACTCATCACCGCGCTCCTGGTTGGCGCAGCCCGCCAGGTAATCAGCCTCATTGTTGTGGACGACGGCCCATTCATCTGCAAACGTACCCTGCAAGTCCGAATCCAGATGCGCGGAGACCTTATGCACAGAAACCCGATCACCCAGCAGCGGCATGAGATGCAACATCTGTTTCCAGAGGTCAGCATGCTTTCCCGTGGACGCGGGAACCCACTCACCAGCGAGCAAGCTTTGTGCCCTCCGCACCACACTCGAGCAGTCAGACCAGACACGAACAGGCATTTCAACCGTGGAAGCGAATGCGAAGGCAGCTAACATGGCAGTCAGCTCAGCCCGAAAAGCAGTTTGGAGCAAGCCCACTACAAACCCGGAACACAAGGGCAGCCCCGGCGAGCCGAAGGAATCTGTAGCGACCACGACACCCCAAGAGGCCAAGCGAAGGGAGGGAAAGCACGAGCAAAGGC